TAGCCTACAGTGGATTACACTGACCGGTTTTTGAATGTTGAACCCCTCTCGCATACCTGGTATATATCCCACTTGGTCATGGTTCTTTTTATACATGGCTGGCTTCTATTTGCTAATATTTTGTTAAGGAATTTTGCTAGTAAATTTATGGGAGATATAGGTCTACAGATTCATTATTGTTTCCTGTACTGTCATCGTATGGTTTTGGTATCAGGATAACAAAAAAACCTGTTACGAAGTGTTCCATGCTTTCTATTTTTCTGGAGGACATTGTGTAAGATCATTATTAATTCCTCCGTAAATGTTTACATGTTTGGTAGTCTTCTATGGTGAAAACATCTGTAAGAGATTTTATCTCTTTATTTTAAATTAAATTTAATTCAAATTATCTATGTCATCTATGAAAATCCACAGAACCTTCAAATTATCCATGTCATCTTGAGTTTTGGTAGCTTGGAATTTCTAAAGAATTGATCCATCTCTTCTCAACCATCAAATTAAGAGCATAACGTTTAAATTATCCTCCTGTTAATGAATGCCGAAGTGATATCCCCCATTTCTTTTCTGATATTGGTGGTTTGTTGTGTGTGTGTATTGAAGATTGCTAGGTTTATAAATTTTATTGATTTTTTTCCCTAAGAACTGGCTTTGTGTTTCAGTAGGTTTCTCTATTGTTTTCCTATTTTCAACTCATTGATTTCTGCTTTATTTTCTTCTTATTTGCTGTGGGTTTACTTTGCCCTTTTGCAGTCTCTTAAGGTAGAAAATTAATTATGGATTTGAGACCTTTCATCTTATCCCATGTTAGCATTTAGTCCTATAGATTTCCCTAACACCACTGCTTTGGCTGCTTCCCACATAAATTGGTATATTTTTTCATTCAGTTCTATGTATTTTTAAAATTTCCTTTCAGCCTTCTTTGATTCATGCTTTACTTACATGTGTCTTGTTTAATTCTGAAGGGTTTGGATATTTTTCTACCGACTTTCTATTACTGATTCACAGTTTAATTTCCTTGTGCTCAGAGAACATAGCATGGTTTCAGTTCTGCTGAATTTACTAAGTTTTGTTTATGGCCCATGATATGTTGTATCTTACTGAATGTTCCATAGGCACTCGAGAAGAATGCATACCTTGTTTTTAGGTAGTATTCTACAAATGTTCGTTCAATCTTGCTGGCTGATGGTGCTGTTCATTTCTTCTATATCTGTTAATTTATATCTGCTATCTAGAAGTTCTACCAATTGCTGAGAGTAAGGTGCTGAATTCCCCAAATATAATTGAAAATTTGTTTATTTCTCCTTTCAGCTCAATCAGTTTTGATTTGTCTACTATGAGGTTCTTTTTTTTGTTTGGTGGGGTCACATTTTGGATCAGTCTTTTTCGTTGGAATACTGCTTTTTCTCTAATAATTTCCTTTGCTCTCAAGACTACTTTATCTGATATTAATGGAGTCAATCTTGTTTTTGTTTTCATTAATATTTGCATAGTGTATCTTTTTCTATTACCCATCAACCATACTATGTTGTATTTGAAGTGAATTTCTTTGTTATCTACAAATTTCTTTGTTTCTGCCTCATGTTTTTTGTTTTATCCAGTCTGCCAGTCTATACCTGAATTGGTGTGTTTAGATCATTTACATTTATAGTAGATATTGCTATATCAAGGTTTAAGTCTGCTGTTTTATTTTTCTGTTGTTTTCTCAGTTTCTCATTTATCTGTTCCTAATTTATTTTCTTACTGATTACTTGAACATCTTTTTAAAGATTCCACCTTCATTTACTTACAATATTTCTAAGTGTACCACCTTGTATAGTTTCTTAGTGGTTCTTCTAGGTATTCGAGTCCATTTCTAGGTAAAATGCACATATATAATTTATTACAATCTTCCTGGATTAACATTTTACCATTGACTTCAATGGAAATGTAACACTGTAATTTCAATTAAATCCCTGTATTCTATCTTATAAATATATCATTTCCTCCACATGTAGAACATCAAATCATACGATATTCTAAATTTTGCTCCAACAAATATGATTTCAGAAACTCCTGAGAAGGAAACTCTGTTATTATATTTACCCTTATTTTTTGCTACTTCCAATGTTCTTTCTTTTTTGAAGTTCTAAGCTTTCTTGTGTTATTTCCTTTCTATTTAAAGAACCTCCTCTAGGCGTTTTTAAAAGATAAGTTTGCTGGGGCGCCTGGGTGGCTCAGTCGGTTAAGTGTCTGCCTTCAGCTCAGGTCATGATCCCAGGGTGCTGGGATCGAGCCCCGCATTGGGCTCCCTGCTCCGCGGGAAGCCTGCTTCTCCCTCTCCCACTCCCCCTGCTTGTGTTCCCTCTCTTGCTGTCTCTCTCTGTCAAATAAATAAATAAAATCTTTAAAAAAAAAAATTAAAAAGATAAGTTTGCTAACAACATTTTCTCTTTGTTTTCCTTTGTATGATACCTTCAGTTGTCCTTCTTTCATGAATATACTTTCACAAGCCAAACAAGTTTTGTTTGAAAGTTCTTTTCTTTCAGTACTTGGAAAAAAATGTATTATTTCCTTCTAGCCTCCATGGTTTCAGATGACAAATCCACTATCATTTCCAAAGAAAATGAGTTGTTTCTCTCTACTTCCAAATTTTTTCTCTTTTGTTTTCAGAAATTTAATCATGACATGCCATTAGTATGGATATCTTTGGATTTATCTCACTTAGAGTTCACTCAGATTCTTCAATGAGTATTTTTATGTCTTTTGACAAATTTGGGAAGTTTTCAATCATTATTCCTTTAAATACTTCAAGTGCCATCATCTCTTCCCTTTTTGTTACTCTGATGATACTGATGATTAGTTTTATTTTTTTTAATTTTATTTATTTATTTGAGACAGAGATAGAGAGAACATGAGCAGGGAGAGAGGGGCAGAGGGAGAGGAAGGGCGAGAAGCAGACTCCCCGCTGAGCAGGAAGCCCAGCGCAGGGCTCAATCCCAGGACCCTAGGATCATGACTTGAGCCAAAGGCAGACGCTTAACCAACTAAGCCACCCAGGCGCCCCAATACAGATGTTAGTTCTTTAGTTATTCCAAATACAGAGAGAATCCAGCCTCTTCTCATTACCTCCATATCTCCCCAATTTTGACAAAATACCATAATTGCCCTTCAGGAAAACTACTAGCGAACTCTCTTAAGTGCTTATGTTCTTTCCAATATTTTCTCTATAGAGGTGAGAAAGATCTTATAAACATAGATCAGACGTTGCTTGTTTACCAAAATACACTAGTAAGAATAAAAATAAAATCTTTAGTAAGATTTATGATATTCATCTTTTGGACCATAGCTGCCTGACATCATTTCCTGTCCCCACTTTCCATCAATCATTCCCCTTTGGCCACTGTGACTTTTTTTTGCTATTTCCCAAGAAACACCAAGCACATTCCTACTCATTGGCTTAGCAGTTGCTATTATCCCTGCTGAGAAGAGGCAGGATCCTCACAGCTCACACAATCATTTCATTCAAATTCTGCTCTAATGGTGATCTCTTTAAGGTTTCCCCTGACTACTCTTCTTGGAGTAGCACAATTTAACTCTGCTCTCATTTCTAGGATAATTTTTACCACTACAGGGCTTTAATACACTTAAGTATCTGATTTTAGTGCCACCTTTTTAGTTTATATTTGACATATAACTGTATAAATTTACAGTGTACAACCCGTTAATTTGATACATTTATATGCCATGTAATTGCCACTGTACCAATAATTAGCACCCCTATTATGTTACATAGTTACCATTTCTTATTAGTGATTAGAATAATTAAGTTCTAGTGCCTCAGCAAGTTTGATTATTATAATACAATACTGTCTATATTCACTATATGCTATATTAGATCACCAGGGCTTATGTACTCAATACACTTTTATACCCTTAAACAACATCTCTCTTTGCCCACATCCCCCACCCCCTGGTAACACTACATTACTCATGTTTATAACAAGTTTGGCTTTTCTAGATTCCAGATACAAGTGACACCACATGGTATTTGCCTTTCTCTGTCAAACTTATCTCAGTTAGCATAATGCACTCAAGGTTCATCCATTTCACAAGTGGCAGAATGTCCTCCTCTCTCATGGCTGAATAATATTCTATTATTTACACATACCTATTTTAATTACCTATTTATCCACTGACGGGCAGTTCGGTTGTTTCCATATCTGGCTATTGTGAATCACGCTGTGATAAACATCAGCGTGCATATTCTCTCTTTGATAACCTGTTTTCATTTCCTTTGGGTGTCTTCCCAAGTGGAACTGCTGGGTCATAGGATAATTTTATATTTTACTTTTTGAGGAATCTCTATACTGTTTTCCATAGTAGTTGAACAAATTTACATCACTGCCAACAGTGCACAAGGGCTCCTTTTTCTCCACATCCTTGCCAACACTTGTTATCTCTTGTCTTCTTGGTGCTAGCCATTCTAAATAGTGTGATGTGTGGTTTTGATTTGCATTTCCCTGATGTTTAGTAATGTTGACCATGTTTTCATATATTTGTTGGTCACTACTGCTACTTGTATAAATTCGACACTTATTTCTTTCACTACTATAGCATTTAGATAATAGCAACTACTTAAAAATTATTTGAGTCAAAAAATGAGCATATGAAAGAATGCCTGATGATGGCAGGAATGCAGAGCAATGGAGGTAAGGTAGGCAACTGAAAACTGCTTTGAGAAACAAAGGAATGAAGAAAAACAACAGTAAAGATGAGGTAGGCAAAACTGGTCTGTTGACAGATTAAGAATGGTAAATACAAAGTGAATCAAAAAGAACATTTCTTTTAAGAGTGGTATCTGGAGATTTGGTTCAAAAACCAGTATTCCCAGTCACTTCCAAGGATTAAGACTTCTAAAGAGATATTCTTGAAAAAACATCTTAAAGTTGTCAACCTCTGGAATAATCGTGGGAAAATAATAAATCCCCTGACGTTCATCTGTGCAGTATCCATTAACTCACCTGGGAAGCTCTGGCTTGGGAATTCTTCCTCCAATATCCATGGCTCCTCTCCTTGCTCTAGCCTGAAGATCACCTCTGGTTTGGTAACACAATACCCTGTCAAAGCAAAACAATTTAGGATTCAGACCAGAAGGCCTAGCCTGCAGGGCCTCTGAAAGAGAAGCAAGCTTCCAGAGCTGCTCAATGAAGATGCTATTTAACATTTCACTGGAGAGGTAAACACAAATATCTTCCTGGTGCCCAAAAGAGATCAACACTGATTCCTGGTTCCAATATAAAAAATCATTAAACTCTACAGTGTCTACATGCTTCATAACTAAAAGAATTAAAACATGCTATTTAGAATTACAAAAAAACAGACCTTACCCAGTGAGACAAGGTTACTGTAGTTCTCCAGCATCACATCTCTATACAAGGACCTCTGAGCTGGGTCCAGGTGCTGCCACTCTTCCTGGGTGAAGCCCACAGTCACATCCTTAAATGATACTGATCCCTGGAATTTCTGTTCAATCTGAAATGTTCAGAATTGGGTGACATGGAAAAAGCTGTATGGGAACCAATCCTTACCATGATTACCAAAATAGTCTGCAGAACATTTGTTTGGTTTTACACTTTGAGGGAAGATGAGAAATCCTAACAGAAATATTATGCCAGGGGGCGCCTGGGTGGCTCAGTCGTTAAGCATCTGCCTTCGGCTCAGGTCATGATCCCAGGGTCCTGGGATCAAGCCCCACATTGGGCTCCCTGCTCCGCGGGAAGCCTGCTTCTCCCTCTCCCACTCCCCCTGCTTGTGTTCTCTCTCTCTGTCAAATAAATAAATGAAATCTTAAAAAAAATATATATATATTATGCCATTGCCTTAAGGTATTATTCATGTAAAAAATTATCAAATCCCACAATGTATCTGGAACCATTCTAGTTCTTAGAAATGCTAAGATTAATAAAATTATTCTTGTAGTCAAGTAGCATACAATTTGGTAAGAAAACATGCAGTAGTATGTTATAATTGCTAAGGTGAAAGTACACAGCAGATAGACTAAAATAAATGAGAAACAAAATCAGTTCTATTTTGAGCTTCACTGAAGAAGAACAGCTGACTGAGAAATAGTAATACCGTGCTTTTCATGAACACGGTGCCATGGTACAAGCAAAGCCAGGGCTCCTCCAACACATTTGGGAAATGAACAGAGGGCAAACAGTACAGAAAACATTGAGAATACAGCCTGGAGCTGTGATGACAGAAAGGGCCATGAAGAAAGTAAGCCATGGAATGGATTACAGAGTAATTTTAGACCAAGTCTCCAAAGTATGTGATCACTTTCAACCTTAAAGAATATTTTTGAGTACTAAAGAAGTTTATATTTATGAATTATAGAAATAAACTATCGATATATTTTGTGACAAATTTTAATTTTTTCCCTCAATTTTAAAAAGTGAAAAGACAGCTTAATATTTTATTTCACTGCAATACACATTCTAGGTTCTAAGTCTTCAATTTAGAGACCATAACTAGAATGTGTAGAAAATGAGAAGGGAAGATTTTGGAACTGTTACACTTGAAATACCTGTAGAACACATAGAAGATACCAACTGGATTATTTGGGATATCATCTAGAGTGCATGCCTCTACTTTAGGGCTCACTGTTTCAAAGAAAGGGGAGCCAAAGAGATCTGAGTGTATATTAAAATTATGTGACCAGGTTTTTATTTATAGAACCAAGTCTCTCAAAAAGGTAAAGGGAACGCTAACGGACAAAAACCACCACTTACATAAACTACTATAGCAAAAGCTGTAAAGCAAAGAGGGAATTGATAAAAGGAAAAAGAGTGATAGAACACGGTCACCAATTATTGGCAGAAAGAAGTTTCTTCAGGGTATATGTACAAACATCTGTATAAACACAAGTATCACAAAATAAGCAAGGAAAAAATAAATTAGGTACTGTATTTTAACAAGATATATCTTAAATATGAAACATAATACTGTAGGTCTAGAATGAAAATAAGGATTTGAGAAACATTAATAATTTGGTAGTATCTGACGTCACCAACAATAAATCAGAAGGCTCTCAGAGAAGCAAGAGACTGAAAATAATCAAGAACACAAGGTGAGGAAAAACCACTTTTTAACTGGATAACAGAGAAAGAACAGGCCATGAAGGAATGCCTGAAGGTGGAAATAAAAATAAGAATAAATAGTTTTAAAAACTAAGACATGATGATATGATCACCTGAGTATATACACAAAAGCATGATAAAACAAACAAAAAACTCTTGGCAAACTAGAAAGGAATTTCCTCAGTGTGATAATGGATTTTAACATATACCTACAGCAAATATTACACTTAATGGTGAAATATAGAATGTGTTCGATTTAGGGGCGCCTGGGTGGCTCAGTTGGTTAAGCGTCTGACTCTTGATTTTGACTCATGTCACGATCTCAGGGTCGTGGGATCGAGCCCCGCATCAGGCTCCACGCTGAACCGGGAGTCGGCTGGAGATTCTCTTTCTCCTTTTCCCTCTTCCCCTCCCCTGCTCGCACATATGCGCTCTCTCACTCTCTCTAAAAAAAAAAAAATTAAGGAAGGAAACATGGAGAAGAATTCTGACCTTCATGTATGAAAAAGTTAATCTTATTTTGACTCCTGGTTTTAGCTTGATATCCTTGAGACTTCTTCAGATAAACAATTTGTCATTGTCAACTCTGTGATTTTTGTAATTTTTGTTGAAGTATAAATATATACAAAAACAACACACAAGTATACTTTGGCGAAGAAACGGCTCAATGTATTTTCACAGTGAACACACCCATAAAACCAGAATTCAGATCAAGAAATAAAACACGACCTGAAATTGAGAAGCTCCTTCATGCCCCTACCTAGTATCTACCACCTCCCCTATCCTAACTCACATGATAACCACAATGACATACACACTCGAATGTCTAAAATGAAAAAGTCAGAAAATACCAAATAGAGATAGTGGCCAGAATATGAAGCACCTTGCCAGTGGGAGTGTAAGTAAGTATATATACTGTGGGAAAATAATAGGGAATTTCTAGGGCACCTGGGTGGCTCAGTCAGTTAAGCATCTGCCTTCGGCTCAGGTCATGATCTCAGGGTCTTGGGAATGAGTCCTGCATCGAGCTCCCTGCTCAGCGGGGAGTCTGCTTCTCCATCTGTCTTCTCCCCTTTGCTCATGCTCATGCTCTTTCTCTCAAATAAATAAAATCTTAAAAAATAATAATAATAGGGAATTTCTACTAAAGCTATATGTATTAATTCCTCTCCTAGTTATATATCCAACATGAACGAGTGTTTGTCAACCAAAGGGCCTATAGGAAATGTTCATAGCAGTTTTATTAGCCAAAACCTGGAGACAGTCCAAAAGCCCATCAACAGAATGGAAAAATAAAACTGTAGTACAGTTACATAATGGAATACATAATAGCAATAAAAAGAAAAACTGATACACTCAGCAAAATAGATGAATCTCACATATACTGTACTGAGTGGAAGCCAGACATACAAGCAAAGCTAATCAATGATAACAGATTCAGAGTAAGATGACCTTGAAATACCAGAGAATCTTTTGGGATACTGGGTGGTAATTACAAGGGGGCGGGGTGCCTGTGTGTGTGTGAGCACGTGCGCACGCATATACACACACAAATAAAAAATTCATCTAGCTTGACACTTAAGTTATATGCAGCTTACCTCAATGAACTGACAAAAAAAATACTTTTGGAACTTACAATACACGCTAAAAAAAAATTTGTGAACTGTTACAAACTTAGTAACAAAATATTGTTCAAAAATAGTTCCTATTTAATTTTGATACAAAAATTCTAAATAAAACACTGGCAAACTCAATTCACAACAGTCTATTAAGAGTAATTCAGAAAGTGGGGGCGCCTGGGTGGCTCTGTCGTTAAGTGTTTGCCTTTGACTCAGGTCATGATCCCAGGGTCCTGGGATCATGCCCCTGCATCAGGCTCCCTGCTCAGTAGGAGGCCTGCTTCTCCCTCTCCTGCTCCCCCTGCTTGTGTTCCCTCTCTCACTGTCTCTGTCAAATAAATAAATAAAATCTTAAAAAAAAAAAGGAGTAATTCAGAAAGCAAAAAAGAAAGCAATTCAGCATGTCCATCCAGAACACTCCAGGTTCCAAACAGGTTCAGAAAAGATTATTTTGTTTACAGTATATACTCCAAACACTTAAAACAGTCCATGAAAGGTGTTCAAAAATTATTTGCCAAATGAATGGCCTAGTATATTTTTTCCAAAAATTCAAGCTTAAGACACAGGGAGCTCCAAACATTGGAATTATCTGGCAGATTTAACAACTATGTTAAAATGATACAGAAAAAGACTTGTTGAATCACCACCTGAAACTACCCTAACATTGTGTGTCAACTATAATTTAAAAAAAAAAATGATAAAGGGAAAAAGATGGCCAGATCGAGAGTTTCAACAAGAGAACTAAAAATTAAGAGAAAGACTGAATATAAATGGCAAACCTTAAAAGCAGCCAGAGAGAAATGAAACATTACCTTCAAAGGAGAAAATGCACTCCCAAACTGCAATATATATATACTTTTCAGATTCACACAGACCTTCTGTTCTTAAATTGACCATAGTCTGGGACACAAAGCAGATTTCAACAACTTGAAAGATCTGATATCATACAGAGAACATTCTTTTTGCAGTGTTTAACATAACAGTTAAGAAAAAGATTGACTAGAAAATTTCACAATGTTTACAGATTAAAAGATATATTTCTTGTTATATATATATATTTTTTAAAGATTTTATTTATTTATTTGACAGAGAGAGATAGTGAGAGCAGGAACACAAGCAGGGGGAGTGGGAGAGGGAGAAGCAGGCTTCCCGCAGAGCAGGGACCCTGATGTGGGGCTCGATCCCAGGACCCTGGGATCATGACCTGAGCCGAAGGCAGACGCTTAACGACTGAGCCACCCAGGCGCCCCTATTTCTTGTTATATTTAAGAGATATATTTCTAAATAGAGATTAGAGAATTTTTTTTAAAATTTATTTATTATTTGAGAGAGAGTGTGCCCACATGCCTGCAAGTGGGG